GAGAGAGAGAGAGAGAGAGAGAGAGAGAGAGAGAGAGACATGACTCTTTAAATCAAAGACAGAGTCACGATTGTATGGGAGCAGTTTAAACCTATGTACATACAGTACCCTTATTTACAATAAATCTTTACACATACAGCAGAATTATTAAGCAATGATCACGTTCTGTGAATTTACAGTCTTAGAGTAACAATTTTAGGGAGTCTGGCTGTGGCAGGTGTGTCAGATTGTTAAATCTGTATTGCCTATGTGAATATACTTGAGTATGTATCAAGTAGCAGTTACTGCAATCTTAGGTCTGTAAAGCAAAAATCAGCTTCATGAGGCAGTAGTTTGAGCAGCTGTCAAATGAAACACAAGCAACATAGCAGTAGCATCAGACCCTAATCAAGTCAAAGTTCAATGTTTCAAGTGTTTGAATGTTTCAAATGTCTGCAAATTAACACTGATAACTGACTGAACTCTTAAAAAGATACAAAGTCATATAGAACATTTGCATTCTTAAGTGGTGTTGCTGCAAGTCAGTGGAGTATGAACTCATTACTCGCAAGCCTTCCATCCATGGTGAGAATAATTAGAATGTATAACACAGCTATTTGAAAGAATGCACTTCTGATTTTCAGAGTAATGGCTTTACATTCCATCGACTCTCACACGTACTGTTCACAACTAACATACCAATGCTACAAATTACTCTGAAACAATAAATAACTGCTAAGAAACCTTCACCCAGTGCAGTCTTAATTAGCTTATGAGGAAGTCTTTGAGTTTGACAGGCTAACAGCAATACTGGATCCTCTTTTAAATATGAGTGCATGTCAGCGCTGTTACAGCATGTTAAGCTGGTAGTAAATGAATGCGAGAGAGGACGCTGCTGTTAATAAGCCACTGCTTCATGTTTTTGTGTGCATGTGTGTCTGTGAGCAGTGTGACAGCTCAGTGTGCGCAAATGTATGTTCAAAAGTAGCAGGGCTCCTAATTAGTACTGGGCTCACTGTTGTACAGTACAAAAAGGGGGAGGGCTCAGATCCCATCAGTGCTGTCTAACAGTCGGTGCTGACTCTCTTGAAACAAGGACTTCTTTTATTTCCCTGTGCAGCTCTTTCCCCGACAGCCAGCTTGCATCAAAACAAAAGGGCCCCATTCAGTTCTGATTGGATGGTTGGCTGGTGTTGATGTCGCTCACAAGGCTCTTTATTGCTTGCTGTACCATCTCTTCCTGCAGCTAAGTCATGTGACATCCCTTATCTCAGAGGAGACCTCAGGTGGCAAACTCCTTTCAGTGCTGCTCCAGAACACACCAGTCGTTTTTGTGCAGTTGTGCTTTGATACTCTGTGGTCGCTCAAGCACATATGGCTTTGCTCTGCCTCTTCAACTGGACACGCGTAGCTTCATGCTAAGCTGTGGTGAAATACAGCTGCTGCGTCCTGGTAATACTTTTGACCGTGACTGTTGCTTTTTCGGAGCTCAGGTTGGTTTGAATCCAGGGAGAGCTCAGTAGAAACATTCCTCCCCTGAAACAAAAAAGTTTACACTTAATAAGTGCAATCAGGAAAAAAAGAAAATGAATTATTAGCCATGATAGAGGCCATGTAAAGCTTTATCAATGCAATATGATGTTCAAAATATCATACTCCCAAGTTTCCAGCATGGCAGTAGCATGCAAACTGACTTCCATGTGTCATAATTACAATGCGAAACCTCAGATTTTTAAGTACAGGTTCTGCCAAACACTGTTTGTATATAATCCCTTTAAAAATACAGCAATATAATCTGTGTGCACAGGCTTTAAATGACCTGTTTCTAATCTTGTAACTAATTTGTTTTTATAAGTAATCCATAACTTGTCCAATGATCCATGTGAGCCTGCATCCTAGCTGATGTAGGGGAAGAGACAGGCTCAGTGGTCTATCACAGGGCTATGTTGTTTTGCCACTGCATGGAAAAGAATTACCTCGGGGAATTTGTCTGTAGATGCTCGTAAAGAATCATAAATATGACATTAAAATCATGTATAAAATTTACAGGTTTATTTTTATAAGCCTGTAATTTTCACAAGTGCAAATGGTTCACATATTAACAAGCGGTAATTAGCAGTCTCCTTTATGTTTGAAAAAGATGGAGATGGCTGATATTATTATGCAAGAATGGCAACGTTCCATCTTTTCTTTTCTTCTTCTCATTAATATATATTAATAATGGTGAAATTATTACCAGATTTGCATATATTTTCAATCGATTTCTTTTTACTGTGTATGCGCCAAATGCTAACATACTGTAGCTGTAAATAAATTAGGACATTTGTGGTGCCAGCTAACATTCACCATTTCAATGATTGCTGAATGTTCATCAGCTGATCTTCTTTCTCATTATCTAATCTTGGTTGAAAAATAATTCTAAAAGGAAAGTTTCTCGGGTGTCTGCGATACCATGTCACTGTATGCTGGACAGCCTTCTTAAATGTTGGCTGGACAAACTGTGCTATGCATCAGGGTTTTTGTCACTTTTTCCATTTTAAGGATGGGTTCAGTTAAAGTTTTACAGTCAGCCTTGTTTATGGTTTCTTGCATTAGGTTCCTCTTGTATCTCCTGTGAGAGCCTGTCAGTCCTTTGTATATGTTTCCTGTGTTATGTCCGTGTCTCCCTCTGTGGCTCGTCTCCCTTTCCTGTTCCCATGTTCCCCTCCTTGTGTTTCATTCAATGTCTTCCCTGCCTGTTATGTGCATGCATGTCTGTACTTCCCCCAGTTCCAGTGTCAAGTCTGTGTGTTTTAGTCTGCATCTCAGTATGTTTCCTGTTTTATTCTGACAGTCTCTCATCCAGCGTTCATTTTACCTATGTCATTATGTTTATTACAACACTCTGTAGTTGAGGGTCTATCCAGAAGGCTATGCGTGCAGTTTTTCCCCATCTTTTTTTCTCTCAAGATTTTCTCTCATGATACTGCATCTTTATTGTTTATTTCTTTCAGGGACTGTGTTAATCACACAAACAGAAAACATGATTTGTATCAGATGAAGCTACTGACTAATTTATGAGGCTAGCTCAAGCTCTAAATATCACAGGAGAGCTTATGAGACCACAAACTCCCTGCGGGAGCCTCTGAAAGAAAAAGACACAGAAGAACAAGACAAGGAAGAAAAAGGACTTATTGCCACCGACTGTCTCTACATGACTCTTTGCAAAGAAAGACAGACAGCAAATTCATACTATCAAGCTGTCTGAACTCGAAACTGAAACTAAATAAAAAAAGAAGAAGCAAAAGTGGCTGCTTTGGCTTTTCACCTAACTCGTCTCAACATTGTGTCTTAAAAATCATATTTATATACAACTACATGTTTATAGTGGTTAAAAAAATTAAGTTTTGCACCCAGAATTGGGTGCAGGAAAAAAATTGTCAGTGAACAAATCACTGATGGCGCCCCTCCCTGAGCCTGGTTCTGCTGGAGGTTTCTTCCCATTAAAAGGGAGTTTTTCCTCCCTACTATTGCCAAGTGTTGCTCATATGGATCTTTAGATTGTTGGGGCTTTTTTTAAACCAACCACTGGCATCAAATTTAGGACTTAGCAATTCATCATAAAGTTGAGGTATTATCCTCAAACATATTTGCGAGTCCTTTTTAGTTGTATATAAAAATGATTTCTAGGGCACTAAGGCTAATCACACACTAATTAGAACAATTGAATAACATTGTGAAAAAGAAAAACAAAATAATGTTTGAAAAACTAGATATGTAATTTTTTCATATAGATTTCAAACAACATACTATTTGATGTCAACATATTTTTGTTACATCTGCAGTGCTCGTTGGTGTGTGTGAGTATATCCTTCTGTCTTGCTTCACATTTTACTTCTGCTTGGCTAGCTTTAGCCATGCTAGCATCAGCACAGGTAGAAACAGATATACATCAGAGAATCGGCCATGCATCTAAACTCAAAAGGAAAACTATAAAAATAAAAATATGGATAACTTTCAGATTAGATCCACATTTCCAACAGTAAATACACATTATTTCATATTATGCAAAAGTCAATGGTTATCCATTTTAGGCTACGTCCACACGTACACGGGTATTTTTGAAAACGGAGATTTTTCGTTTTAAAAAATAATCCCGTCCACACGTAAATGCAGAAATGAAGGAAAACGCTGCTAGGAACATGCCAAAGCAACAGGTGGTGATATATTCCTAACCGTGTAGAAATGTTGGCCAATCAGAAGTCTAGAAGCCTCGGTGGGAAAAAGTAAACAAAGCTGGGGCATAGAAGCACACGAGTCGTATGTGTGGACGGACAGTAACTGTGTATATGTAAGCATTTAAACACTGCAGAGAGTAGAATTAACAGTAACAGTATTGTAGAAATTCATTTCACCGAAACAATAACGTGGCGCACAGTGTGACGTCAAAAAAGGCGCACACCTTTGATGCTGCGTTTTCTCCGTTTTTCTCGTCCACACGTAAATGCAAAAACGGAGTTTTCAAAAATATCCACCCTGCATGGCCGGAGTTTTTAAAAATCTCCATTTTCAGTGACCGAAAACGCCGTTTACGTGTGGACGAAATCTGCGTTTTCAAAAATACCCGGGTACGTGTGCTCAGAAATGGCTTCAGGGACTTTGTTGTGACAACAATTTTCATCTGACATTTGTTTACTGAAAGTCTACCCAGTCAGAAATACAAACTGAACAACACTCATACAAAAGTCTAGACCATACGTTTCCTCTCAGCTCAGTAACCTGGGTTTGGTAAATGAAAAGTGGTTTTGTTACATATGCTGACACTGTCCCTCGTTTCGTTTCTGACACTCCACATATTCACATCATACTTTTCTTCTGTATGGACACACTGGCTCTTTCACTTCAGTCACACTGAATGTGTCAGTAGAACATTTTTTACATGCTGTAGACAGCAGAAAACAGTCAGCTGCCTGTGTTCAATATATGTTGTCTGACTTGTTTGAGAAAAATAGTGTAAGACATGCAAAGCCCCGTGGAATGAACTATGACACCATGTTGGAGGGTATATTGTCAAAATAATTATGGTGCCCAATGTCCCAAAAGTTATAAACCCACATTAGAACCAAGGTCAACATGACAATAATCAAGGCAACTTCAGTGATCAACAGTAGTGTGAAAGCTTTAAGAGAAATGTGGAGAAACAGCCTTTCAAAATATTTCTGTGGGAATAGTTTTTACAACTCAAAAGAGTTCTATAAGCAAAATATGAACAAAGAACAAACTATACTATATTACAGGTTAATATGTGAATAAAAGCAGAATCTATTGATTTGCATGTCATAAACCTATATTTTATTCACAATAGAACTCAGAAAACATATCAAATATTTAAACTGAGAGGTTTTGAAAAATATTAGTAAATATTTAAATTGTGTGTTTATTTATATTGTTTAAAATTTTTTTTTAATGTGTTTCATTTCAATAAAAAAAACTTCTAAAAAAGCTTCTAAAAAATGTTTGAAACAACCTGTGATATCTGTGATTCCACGCGTGGGAAAATATAAGAGAAGGGAGCTCATCCAGGTCACTACTTCTGTTTAACTATGGATATGTATCACACATTTGTCTCAATAGCTGCAAAAATTCTAGAAAACCAAATTTATTGAAAATTTAAGGCAAATTTTGACTTCCTGTGATATTTCTGTTTTGGCACTGATAACAATCTGGAGGGGCAGAATATTATTTGGAGGCTTGAATTTATTAAAATACAGCAGAGCTAAGAGAAAAGCCTCATCCAACAAAGTAGATACTTGACCTAGAAACAGGGTTTCTATTATGGCTGTCATAAAAAAAATTCTCAGATACCAATAGATACTAAAAATGTAGATGCTCATTTGCAATAGTATCAATAACAACAGTGCAATCTTTGCCGTTTCTATTTGACATAACTTCACACAGCACGCTGCAGACAGGCAGACACGCAGCTCCTCTCCTCTGTAGCAACTAAACTTGGTGACGTTAACAACATTGAACAACAGTTTGAAGAATTCTGGGGGTCAGTACAGCTTCTGTTAGAACAACAATGAGATACTGATAAGTTATCATAAATGTTAATCTGGCTGAAATGGCATGTAAATGTTAGCTGGTTAACAATGAGCAATTGCCGCATAGTCACAAACCCAACCTCAGGGGGTCACAAGCTTATTGTGCCAGACCCACGCCGAGATACTTGGGCAGACATCCAATGCGGCAGCCCCTTTGGAAATCAGGGAGCGGCCAGTCTGATAGCCGTATTAGCCATCTGTTCAGTTATCATTAAAGTCTTATAGTGGCAACTATGACTAAAAACCCCGGTGAACTATTTCTTCAGGTCTATGCACTGATGGTCCACTAAGACAAAATGAATTGCTTTGAAAATGTATTACATACAAAGGTCAGACATTCATTTCAAATTAGGTGTGTATTCTGGGTGCCCATATTCTTTGGGTTTGAAGTTGCTTTTCCATTCCCGCACACCCAAAGTAATCACTGTGTTGAAATGCAGTAATTTGCATTTCTAAATCTCCGTTATTACCTGTGTCACGTGAAGGATGTCATATCTCTACGTTAGAGTCTGTAAATCCTTTCTTGCCCTCATTTACCAGCACAGGCTTCTCTGTCCTTGTGTGCCATACTAATACCTAGAGGTAAGGAGAAAGGCATGGACGAGCAAAAAAATACTCAATATGATGAGATACTAATACAGACATTTTGGCTAGAAATGCTGTTTGCTGGTAATAGGCTGCTTCATATCTGCTACACAATATCCAGACGCAGAACATAACATATTTAAAATGAGCCTCTGAGCTTAAAGGGTTGGCGCTAAGCTGACAGTTTAATGACTTTAAGAACAAATTCTTCTGACAACACAAGATCCTAAGACTCGTCTTCTTATTCTACCAGCATTTCCAGATGCAGCTTGTTTCATTGTCATTTCACTGGCATTGCATGACATTTTAAACATATAGAAAGCCTCCTCTTCTTACCTTAGTACAGTTAGCAGCTTTAGGCTCCAAGTCACTGAGAGTGACCAGCTCTTTTAATAAGCTGCTCTCCTGATATCCTCCCTTTACCCCACGCAGCTTGAAATAAGCCTGAGGTTTGGACAGAATGAGCTGCAGGTTCACCGCAAACCCAGCCATGTCAATAGCAAAGGGCCGGTGCGGGTCAAATACAGTTTTCCAGCCAAACACCTTCCCCAAGGTGTTTACTTTGGGTGACTCATAACGCAGGCCACCCACAAAAGCCACGGGCCACACCGACACCTTTTTAGTGGAACGCATCTGTTAGTTGAAAACAGACACAGAAATAAACCACTTATGCAAGTTATTTAAAAACCCATACAAAAGATTAGATTTAGCTAAAGATCACAGATGGTAAAAGATGGACGTAGTGTGATGTCAGTTTGTGAAGTCAGCATCACAAACTTGGTGTTTGGAAAAAGGACTTGAAAAGTTAGAGCTGAGGACACTGCAATGAGCACGTGATGGTGCTCGTCAATGACGTGCTAATGCACACGCCTACTGTCCTCTAGTTGCTTTTTGACTCTAATGGAATCATCATTTAGAAAATATAAGAGTTTTAAAGCAAGTCGCACAGACCTGTCGGCGACCATCTGGCAATCACCAGTCACTAGGGAAAAATGTGCACTCCCCTGACCAGCTGTTAGTAGTTGCTGAAAGAAACTGTTTGCTAAAGCTCCCAAAGACGCAGGGCTGGAGACAGTCACTGACCTGCTGCTAGTCACTGGTTGCCAAAGTAAAAGTGTTCATTCTGCAACCGGTTAGGGTGCGGTTTCTGGCAGTTGCTAGTGTGAAACTGGTTATAAAGAAGAGTATAAAGCTGTACTGAAAGTCTCTTTGTTATTGCTTATTATTAACATACAGTGGGGCAAAAAAGTATTTAGTCAGCCACCGATTGTGCAAGTTCCCCCACCTAAAATGATGACAGAGGTCAGTAATTTGCACCAGAGGTACACTTCAACTGTGAGAGACAGAATGTGAAAAAAAATCCATGAATCCACATGGTAGGATTTGTAAAGAATTTATTCGTAAATCAGGGTGGAAAATAAGTATTTGGTCAATAACAAAAATACAACTCAATACTTTGTAACATAACCTTTGTTGGCAATAACAGAGGTCAAACGTTTACTATAGGTCTTTACCAGGTTTGCACACACAGTAGCTGGTATTTTGGCCCATTCCTCCATGCAGATCTTCTCGAGAGCAGTGATGTTTTGGGGCTGTCGCCGAGCAACACGGACTTTCAACTCCCGCCACAGATTTTCTATGGGGTTGAGGTCTGGAGACTGGCTAGGCCACTCCAGGACTTTCAAATGCTTCTTACGGAGCCACTCCTTTGTTGCCCGGGCGGTGTGTTTTGGATCATTGTCATGTTGGAAGACCCAGCCTCGTTTCATCTTCAAAGTTCTCACTGATGGAAGGAGGTTTTGGCTCAAAATCTCACGATACATGGCCCCATTCATTCTGTCCTTAACACGGATCAGTCGTCCTGTCCCCTTGGCAGAAAAACAGCCCCATAGCATGATGTTTCCACCCCCATGCTTCACAGTAGGTATGGTGTTCTTGGGATGCAACTCAGTATTCTTCTTCCTCCAAACACGACGAGTTGAGTTTATACCAAAAAGTTCTACTTTGGTTTCATCTGACCACATGACATTCTCCCAATCCTCTGCTGTATCATCCATGTGCTCTCTGGCAAACTTCAGACGGGCCTGGACATGCACTGGCTTCAGCAGCGGAACACGTCTGGCACTGCGGGATTTGATTCCCTGCCGTTGTAGTGTGTTACTGATGGTGACCTTTGTTACTTTGGTCCCAGCTCTCTGCAGGTCATTCACCAGGTCCCCCCGTGTGGTTCTGGGATCTTTGCTCACCGTTCTCATGATCATTTTGACCCCACGGGATGAGATCTTGCGTGGAGCCCCAGATCGAGGGAGATTATCAGTGGTCTTGTATGTCTTCCATTTTCTGATGATTGCTCCCACAGTTGATTTTTTCACACCAAGCTGCTTGCCTATTGTAGATTCACTCTTCCCAGTCTGGTGCAGGTCTACAATACTTTTCCTGGTGTCCTTCGAAAGCTCTTTGGTCTTGGCCATGGCGGAGTTTGGAGTCTGACTGTTTGAGGCTGTGGACAGGTGTCTTTTATACAGATGATGAGTTCAAACAGGTGCCATTCATACAGGTAACGAGTGGGGGACAGAAAAGCTTCTTACAGAAGACGTTACAGGTCTGTGAGAGCCAGAGATTTTCCTTGTTTGAGGTGACCAAATACTTATTTTCCACCCTGATTTACGAATAAATTCTTTACAAATCCTACCATGTGGATTCATGGATTTTTTTTTCACATTCTGTCTCTCACAGTTGAAGTGTACCTCTGGTGCAAATTACTGACCTCTGTCATCATTTTAGGTGGGGGAACTTGCACAATCGGTGGCTGACTAAATACTTTTTTGCCCCACTGTATTAATACATTTCCTTGTAGTAAGATGGAAAATGCTAGCTTGTTTGCAGGCACTTTCACTAGCTACGCAGCAGTGAAGTGTGTAGCAACACAAAACATTGAGAACATTTACTTCTCCTGTTTGTTGTGCAGAAACCTCTATGCAATCATTTTCACATAACAGAAGCCAGTAACCTTCTGCAAGCCTTCATCAATTATTTGAGATATACACATTCTTTCCTTAGCTACTGGAGGTTACCTATGCCTATTGTGAGGTGAACTATATATACACACACACACACATATATATAATATATATATATATTATATATATATATATATATTATATATATATTATACATATACAATACAACGACATATCATACACACAACATATAACCACACACATTAATTACACACACCACATAAAGTCATTACTTACATACAATTTATCATCCATTGATATAATTGATATATCTCATACAGTCATCATGATACAATACTCTTGTTAAGAATATTAACTACATACAGTATATATCATTTATATTACAACAATTGAAGTTATATTGACGCAGTCGTATAATATACCTAGTTACACTACAATACTGAGTCATATAAAGTTTCACAGCATATATATATATATATATTAGGGGTGCAACGATACACAAAATTCACGGTTCGGTTCGATACTTTGGTGTCACGGTTCGATATTTTTTCGATACAAAAAAAAGTTCATGCCTTTTTAATTTGTCATTTATTAAATTTTCACGGCACATTCTGCACCACCATCTCTGTGCGTTCATCATTTGTTTGAAGCCAGCTCACCTCCTGCAACTACTTTTCCGAGAATACGTGCTTCTTTTGTGGTTCGGACTCCTTCTGACATTTCTTTGGAGGTGGAGGAACACCAAAGTAATTGCTTAAAGGAGCTTCTTCGACATCTTTAAGAGTTCTAAACAAATGTCTGTCCTCCTCCTGAAAATCTTATGTACGCAAACACGCGTTGCAACTTCTTATCTTGTGCGCATTTTTTATTTTGACAGCGAATGCGCACCTGCGGACCACTTATGTGCAGCCCTGGTTATTTACAGCGGGGAAAATAAGTATTTGACACATCAGCATTTTCATCAGTAAGGGGATTTCTAAGTGGACTATTGACACAACATTTCCACCAGATGTTGCCATCAAGCCAAATATTGAATTCATACAAACAAATCAGAACATTGAAGTATACAAGTTAAACCATAATAAATAAAGTGAAATGACACAGGGAATAAGTATTGAATACATGAAGATAACAAGGGGCAAAATGACATAGAAAGCCAGGAGATCACCTGAAATCTGTCAGTATTGATAGAGAAATCCTGTCCCCTATCAGTACTAATTGATATCAGCTGCTTTAGTCCTAATTGATGGCCTATAAAGGCTCCTCATTACCCAGAAGGCACACAGGAAAGACTTCATGATGGGTAAAAGCAAAGAACTCTCTCAAGATCTTCGTAATCTTATCGTTGAAAAGCATTGTGATGGGAATGGTTATAGGTGCATTTCCAGAATGCTGAATGTTCCTGTGAGCACTGTGGGGGCCATTATCCGGAAATGGAAAGAGCATCAGTTCACCATAAACCTGCCACGATCAGGTGCTCCACGCAAGATCCCTGTCCGAGGAGTCCAAAGAATAATCAGGAGAGTTCTCCAAGAGCCAAGAACCACTCGGACAGAACTTCAGGAAGACCTTGCATCAGCAGGTACTGTTGTTTCAAAGAAAACTATAAGCAATGCACTGAACCGCCATGGCATCCATGCACGCTCACCACGCAAGACTCCATTGCTGAACAAAAAGCATGTCAAGGCTCGGTTAAAATTTGCGCAACAGCATTTGGAGAAGCCTGTGGATTATTGGAAGACTATAGTATGGTCAGATGAAAGCAAAATTGAACTTTTTGGCAGCCATTCTACACACCATGTTTGGAGAAGGAATGGCACTGCTCACCACCCCAAGAACACCATACCAACAGTTAAGTTTGGGGGTGGTAGCATCATGGTTTGGGGCTGCTTTTCAGCAAGGGGTACTGGCAGACTTCATATTATTGAAGGCAGGATGAATGGAGAGATGTACCGGGACATTCTGGATAAAATGGAGCAGTGCTAGCTATCATGGGACCATCTGATACGCCATTACAGGAAGCTAAAAGATAAAAGAGGGTGGACAATATCAGCAAGCACCAATGTATCCCAAACAACAAGAGTACCCAAGGAATACAATGAAGCGGTTTCAAAGGAAAGAAAACGATCCAAGGTATGTGCTCTAGACATGGACCCAGTATCAATCACCTGCCTAAATCCCATAGAAAATCTATGGAGAGAACTGCAGAGAGAATATAAAGTTCAAAAATAGGGCCGCAGGAAACTCTTCAAGAATTTAAAGGCCCGGTTGTGTGGAAGAATGTGGCCACGTACATCACTCTGAGCAAGCTGTGCCACCTGGCAAGACGGGACTCTGGTCTATCACATACAAGAGGCGTCTAGAACTGTAATAACATACTCAACAAAGGGCTTTTCTTACAAAGTGTTAAATAAAGTTGTGTTCAATACGTTAGCCCTGTGTCATGCACTTATTTAATATGATCCAACTTGCTACTTATTACAATGATATCTCTGAAATATATGTTTGTATAGCAAATATCATATGATTAGTTGGCCTCTGTATGGCAACACTGGTGGAAATGTTGTGTCAATAGTCACTTAGAAACATGCCCCTTTATGACAGGAATGCTGCATGTTCGAAATCACTTATTGCACCCTGGTATTAGCTCGTCATATCGCAGCCACAGAAATTCTTTTGTCCATGAAACCATAAAGCTGCACTTTCTTTTTGCCTTATAGTCTGATTTGTCATAACTTTCTCCGTTTTGTGGTAAGCTTTTCTTTGGCTGTCACTTCTTCACCCTGACCTGTCTTATTTGGCTCAGCAGAACTGAAAATTCTGCTGTTTTACACACGCACTCACATAAGCTCAGCGATTCTCTGCGCGATCAACCTCTCACATGTTTAAGCTGCTGCGGAGATTTCACTTGTCATGTTTGCATAGTAAGCTAAGATTAATAAGACGATGTCAGAGGAATTGGTGCACAAATTATCATCACTCACAGATCAGTGCTGTCGCTCTCTATACACAGTTCGCACGATTGCAAAGTGAAAGCAAAAAACAAGCGCAAATTCAAACGCGACTTCAATATGTCACATATTGACAGTGGCTCACCGATGCCAATGACATAATTACCCAGCTACATTTCCGAAAGAATGCAAAAGCATTAGCATGACATATATTTTTCCTTCCTACGATAGCCCGACGGGCAGGGAGAGATAGATTTTGGTAGCCCGTGGAAATCAGCCTGATCTATGAGAGAAATCACTCATCTTTGGAAAAGAGAGTTTATTACAGAGAAATGGCTCTTTCCAAAATAAAAGCTATACTATACGCTTCTTCTGGGCTATATTCTCAGCAGCATATTAAACATATCAGGTCCCCATAAGGAGAATCATGTGCTAACAGCTGTCTAAATGACTCGGGTAAAGTTTGTAGCATGCTTGTTGTTTTTGTCTGCTTCCACTTGTCTTTGCACTAGGATGATGTTCGGAGTAAATGTGCAGTCATATTCATTGTGTTCCCACTAGTGCTGTCAGCGTTAAATCTCGTAAATGACGTTAACGCCACAACACGGCAATCCGTTAACGAGCTAACTGCGCTAACACCTAGTTCCCACCCATGTAATTGAGCATTGCGTGGCACATCCAACATACTGTTTTACTTTAGTCCATGACGACGCTTACCTTCAGGGTCATACGTCACATGAAAACCAAAATAATTCCAAACGCCAGATCTGAATGAGGGTGGGGAGGTTCAATTTGCCATGTTGCAAGGAGAGCTTAACTTCTGTCTCGCTAGCTTGCCCTGCGCTCAGTGAATCTGCGTTCGACTACTCCGCCTAGGCTGCACTGTCGAGCGCAGATCCACTGAGCGCTCAACACAGACAGCATCGTCAGAAGGAAAGTTGATAAAATAAATTACAAATGTTGTATTGTTCGATACATATGCGTACCGAACCGAAAGCACTGTATCGAACGGTTCAATATCGATACGAATATCGTTGCACCCCTAATATATATATAAGACTTGTAACTAGCAACTGAAACCATAAACTCACTGGAAAAGTGTTTCATGAAGTCGTAGATTAAGAAAGCCAAATTAAATTTCCTCACCTCCTCAAACAGCTCCAAGCTATATGTGTTGTCATCATCTGCAAAGTAGACAACCCCAGGCTGGCTGGTATTTACGCTGAAGGTCTCCCGTAACCACCGGAGAGCTAGGTTCCTCTGTATGGTACCACGTGGTATTCGGGGGTCCCTGGTGTCCCCGCGTACCTTATAGTTCCTAGGTGTCTCCACATTGAGGTGGGTGTAGTTGAGCCCTGTGTTGTGGAGAAGATGACTAACCAGACTGGTCCGCCTCTGGGAGTCTTCTACCAGGATCCAATGCAAGTTGACCACATGAAGCAAAGTGTTGGCCAGCCGTGTCAGCTCTGCTTTCTGCACCGGGCGGCTATAAGTGGGAGTGATGATGTGGATAGTGGGCAATATATCCGACCAGGGTGGAGGGCGGCTGTATATATATTCCGTGCGTACCACCTCCACAATGTCCCGGTTCTGAAGCGAGCATGACTCCTTAAAAGCAAAGGTGTTTCTGGAGTTGGAGTGACCATCAGTTCTGTCATCTAGTCAGTAAGAAAACACATTACAATGAGCTTCTGTGTGCTCACAAATATGGATTGGCATTCATGCTACAGTATATTTCTGTACAGTAAGATTTATTTCTTGATAATTAATTTTATTATGTGAGACAATGTTAATACTCTTTGATCAGATGCTAAGCTGCATCAATAAAGAGATGTAATATTTTCAACACTTGCTGAGGTACACACTAGAAGTAACTTACTTTCCTGCGTACAACTTTGACGACAATATAAAAAATATGCACTATATCCAACCTGGTCTCCTAACAAATGCATTCCTGTATAAGTGAAATACATTCACAATAACATTTAAAATGTATTTTCTCTCCAAAAGACAAAGACTGCATTAGGAGGCAGAAGACCTTCCTCCAACAGACTTTTGTTTTCCATACTCTATTTGTTAAAAAAACATGATTACATTTAGGAACAGAGCATGCATTGGGTGAGAAGAGACCCTTGCACATTTTAATCACTTTCAGTAGCTCTCCAGTTTCTTGGTATTTTGAGTAAAACGAGTAAGAAATGACAAAATAGCAAAAATAACGGCATGTTGATAACAAACATATTTATATGTCACATATAGAATCTAGGAGAAATGCATTCCACTCAAAATGTAAGCCACAAAGGCAGTCACAGCTCAGGCCAAATCAGTTAACACTTGTATATAAGATTTTCCAATGAGCAAATCTAATATAAAATGCATGCTTTAAGGTTCTATAACCTGCTCACAGTTGTTGTACAACTGTGAGCTACTTTGTAACCTGCCTCTAGACCAGCTGTTCCTTTAAATCTGTATCTGACTTATTCAGAGTTGATATCTCTTTCTCTGCTATATACTGGGTCTTGCTGCCTTTGACATACTATACTACACTAAGCTACACTATGCCACAAAGTTTAATTTGCTGCAGATGTAAATTTCAGTCTTTTTTGACTGTCTGAACTTAAGTTTTTTCAACACACATTTTTTTTTTACCCTTTCGAGTGGTAAGCAGAGGAGTGAGGGTGCTCTGGTGCCAAACAGTGATGAGTAGTGTCCAAGGCAACACGATCAATATAATGGCAACGATGTCTCGTCTCTTCGGCATCTCCAGGGTCAGACCTGAATCATGTTCCTACCTGCAAGGGTGTGTAACACATGATGGGTGCACAGTTATAAGAACTAGAAAGCTGTGAATTGTCTGAGATCATACTTGCATCTCACTGAACCAATTAAAAGGTCTTTATTTTGTTTTCTATATTTAATACATTGAATAAACTGAGGCATTCATTATGACATAAACTAATTTTATGTCAAAGGTGGGCAGGTGGGACCCAAACAGAAGTCACAGACACATACGAATAAACTAAAAAACAGCCTTCTATTAGCTGGAATGCCAAAGTCCATAAATAAATCCAAAATCTCAAACAGACACACAATACACAGGCAGGAAACTGAAGATTGGTTAACAGACACTCAGATAAAGAACAAAAGGAAATTGGGCTAGATATACATCAACACAATGAGGACAAATTATTGGTAGTGGAAACACCTGGAAAACAATAACAGCTGAAACTAATCATGACAAGACAAGGGAAGTAAGACGAAATACGAGACACAGGAAACAAATAATTACCAAAATAAAACATGAAGTAACTAAACAACACATAAAAAAGATATTGGGGAAAATAAACTCAAATTTTAAAGATCAAAGTATAAACAATAGTAAAGTCTAAAAGAAAACCAGATAACAAAGGTCGCAAGAACAAGAAACTAAACACAGAAAAGTTACAATAATAAAGAGAATTCCAAACAAAAAAACTCAACTACATGTAATAACTAAGTCTTAATGTAGTAATGCTAAGTAATACTAACACACAATACTAGCTAAACATGAACAGTCCAAAACTCTGAATTCTGGGTCAAGGACCCAGGACCACGCCAATATGTAAGTCATTTCAATTTGTATTCTAAGTACAGGGAGTGCAGAATTATTAGGCAAATGAGTATTTTGTCCACATCATCCTCTTCATGCATGTTGTCTTACTCCAAGCTGTATAGGCTCGAAAGCCTACTACCAATTAAGCATATTAGGTGATGTGCATCTCTGTAATGAGAAGGGGTGTGGTCTAATGACATCAACACCCTATATCAGGTGTGCATAATTATTAGGCAACGTCCTTTCCTTTGGCAAAATGGGTCAAAAGAAGGACTTGACAGGCTCAGAAAAGTCAAAAATAGTGAGATATCTTGCAGAGGGATGCAGCAGTCTCAAAATTGCAAAGCTTCTGAAGCGTGATCATCGAACAATCAAGCGTTTCATTCAAAATAGTCAACAGGGTCGCAAGAAGCGTGTGGAAAAACCAAGGCGCAAAATAACTGCCCATGAACTGAGAAAAGTCAAGCGTGCAGCTGCCAAGATGCCACTTGCCACCAGTTTGGCCATATTTCAGAGCTGCAACATCACTGGAGTGCCCAAAAGCACAAGGTGTGCAATACTCAGAGACATGGCCAAGGTAAGAAAGGCTGAAAGACGACCACCACTGAACAAGACACACAAGCTGAAACGTCAAGACTGGGCCAAGAAATATCTCAAGACTGGTTTTTCTAAGGTTTTATGGACTGATGAAATGAGAGTGAGTCTTGATGGGCCAGATGGATGGGCCCGTGGCTGGATTGGTAAAGGGCAGAGAGCTCCAGTCCGACTCAGACGCCAGCAAGGTGGAGGTGGAGTACTGGTTTGGGCTGGTATCATCAAAGATGAGCTTGTGGGGCCTTTTCGGGTTGAGGATGGAGTCAAGCTCAACTCCCAGTCCTACTGCCAGTTTCTGGAAGACACCTTCTTCAAGCAGTGGTACAGGAAGAAGTCTGCATCCTTCAAGAAAAACATGATTTTCATGCAGGACAATGCTCCATCACACGCGTCCAAGTACTCCACAGCGTGGCTGGCAAGAAAGGGTATAAAAGAAGAAAAACTAATGACATGGCCTCCTTGTTCACCTGATCTGAACCCCATTGAGAACCTGTGGTCCATCATCAAATGTGAGATTTACAAGGAGGGAAAACAGTACACCTCTCTGAACAGTGTCTGGGAGGCTGTGGTTGCTGCTGCACGCAATGTTGATGGTGAACAGATCAAAACACTGACAGAATCCATGGATGGCAGGCTTTTGAGTGTCCTTGCAAAGAAAGGTGGCTATATTGGTCACTGATTTGTTTTTGTTTTGTTTTTGAATGTCAGAAATGTATATTTGTGAATGTGGAGATGTTAATAAACTAATCTGTAAGGCCAGTAATGTTGTGGGGATGGAGCTGGACTCCCTCAAGGTGGTGTAGGAGAGGCGGATGCTGTCCAAGATAAAGACAATGTTCGATAACACCTCCCACCCACTCCATGACATGCTGGTCAGTCACAGGAGCACGTTCAAATCAAATCAAATCAAAATCAAATCACTTTTATTGTCACATCACATGTGCAGGTACATTGGTACAGCACATGTGAGTGAAATTCTTGTGTGCGAGCTTCACAAGCAACAGAGTTGTGCAAAATACAATAATGTAAACAAGCAAAATACAAGAATGGCTACATCTGAAACTAATAAATATATGTACAATATATAATAGTATATGCATTTCTGGATGTGTATACTAAATATTTTTCTACGTGTGTGTGTGTGTGTGTGTGTGTGTGTGTGTGTGTGTGTGTGTGTGTGTGTGTGTGTGTGTGTGTTTGTGTGTGTGTGTGTGTGTGTGTGTGTGTGTGTACACATATTTTACAAATTAAATAGAGTAAACAATAAATAAAATATATAAAATATACAGAGTTGAGACATGTGCAAAACAGTGGCATTACTGTACAGTATGGAGAGACTGAGATTACCGAAAAGCACCACTGAACGACACAGGAAATCTTTCCTGCCTGTGGCCATCCACTTAACACACTGGTTACTGCTACAACTACACGTTTCTTTTCCAGCTATTTATTTATGAGTGACATATGTATGTATGTATATATATATATGTATATATTGTACTATTCTTAGTTAGCGTATTGTCTGTCTTGTCTTAATGTTGGTTTATGTTGGTTTATAATGGAGCACTGTAACAAAAAATAATTTCCCCCAGGGATCAATAAAGTATTCTGATTCTGATTCTGATTATATTAGTTTCACTGGTAAAAATAAATAATTGAAATGGGTATATATTTGTTTTTTGTTAAGTTGCCTAATAATTATGCACAGTAATAGTCACCTGCACACACAGATATCCCCCTAAAATAGCTAAAACTAAAAACAAACTAAAAACTACTTCCAAAAACATTCAGCTTTGATATTAATGAGTTTTTTGGGTTCATTGAGAACATGGTTGTTGTTCAATAATAAAATTATTCCTCAAAAATACAACTTGCCTAATAATTCTGCACTCCCTGTATATTTGGTTTGAAATGACTTCATTGCCTTACCTTTCAAATGTAGTAGCAGATTCTCTTTAACATGAGTGGATGAGCTGGTTTTTGAGTCTGTAGATATAATGGCCCTTTGCTAGAGGTGGATTACATTTTGAAGTGTATGTTGCATGGAACACGGTGGCCCTCAATTTAACACTGTCATACTGTAGCTGCAAGGCACAAACTTCAAGGAAAGAGGAATTTTGTTAAATAGTCACAGTCTGCTGGAGCAGGCCGAATATAGGTCAGAGACTGCTCTAAGCTTCCTATTTTATCACAGCTGAAGATGTACTGGTGTACTATTATAGCAATTAAGCTAATGATTTGAAGAGGGCTATCGTGCTTCTCAACACAGTGGGCACAGACAGACAGTAGTTGTCATGAATTCACAATGAATATGTATATAATAAATATATATAAAAAAAAAAAAACACCCAGCACGCCCCTGCGGGCGGTTTATCCTTCAAGCTCGGGTCCTCTACCAGAGGCCTGGGAGCTTGAGGGTCCTGCGCAGTATCTTAGCTGTTCCCAGGACTGCGCTCTTCTGGACAGAGATCTCCGATGTTATTCCCGGGATCTGCTGGAGCCACTCGCCTAGCTTGGGAGTCACCGCACCTAGTGCTCCGATTACCACGGGGACCACCGTTACCTTCACCCTCCACATCCTCTCGAGCTCTTCTCTGAGCCCTTGGTATTTCTCCAGCTTCTCGTGTTCCTTCTTCCTGATATTGCTGTCATTCGGAACCGCTACATCGATCACTACGGCCGTCTTCTTCTGTTTGTCTACCACCACTATGTCCGGTTGGTTAGCCACCACCATTTTGTCCGTCTGTATCTGGAAGTCCCACAGGATCTTAGCTCGGTCATTCTCCACCACCCTTGGGGGCATCTCCCATTTTGACCTCGGGACTTCCAGATTATACTCGGCACAGATGTTCCTGTACACTATGCCGGCCACTTGGTTATGGCGTTCCATGTATGCCTTGCCTGCTAGCATCTTGCACCCTGCTGTTATGTGCTGGATTGTCTCTGGGGCATCTTTACACAGCCTGCACCTGGGGTCTTGCCTGGTGTGATAGACCCCAGCCTCTATGGATCTTGTGCTCAGAGCTTGTTCTTGTGCTGCCATGATTAGTGCCTCTGTGCTGTCTTTCAGTCCAGCTTTGTCCAGCCACTGGTAGGATTTCTGGATATCAGCCACCTCCTCTATCTGCCGGTGGTACATACCGTGCAGGGGCCTGTCCTTCCATGATGGTTCCTCGTCTCCCTCCTCTTTCTTGGGTTTCTGCTGCCTGAGGTATTCACTGAGCACTCGGTCAGTTGGGGCCATCTTCCCAATGTATTCTTGGATGTTCGTTGTCTCATCCTGGAAGAGGCACTGGTGAGCCTTCTTGACCAGCTTGGAGCAGTTGGTCGGAAGACAGGATTTGAAGTGTGCTAGGACCAGCTGCTCTAAGCACTTAGTGATGATGGGGGTGAGTGCTACTGGGCGGTAGTCATTGAGGCAAGATGGGTTGGAGTTTTTGGGTATCGGGACGATGGAGGTGGATTTGAAGCAGGCCGGTACCACAGCGTGGGCCAAGGACAGATTGAATATGTCTGTGAGCACTCCTGCAAGCTCCCCAGAACACGCTCTGAGAACACGCCCGGGGATGCCATCAGGACCTGCAGCCTTGTGGACATTGATCCTGC